CTTCTTCTGGAGACTACCACATTATTCCGTGCAACACGACTGCTAAGCTACAAGTGCAATTTTCCGGTGTGAATTACACCATCTCGCCAAAGGACTACGTGGGAGCAACCTCCGGTTCTGGATGCGTTTCGAACATTATCAGCTATGACCTGTTCGGTGATGACATTTGGCTCCTGGGCGACACGTTCCTCAAGAATGTGTATGCCGTGTTTGACTACGATGAGTTACGGGTCGGATTTGCAGAGCGATCCTCGAACAGCAGCTCTACGTCGAACTCTACGAGCTCTGGAACAAGCAGTACCTCGGGATCCACAACAACGGGCAGCTCAACGACTACAACGAGCTCTGCTAGCTCTAGTAGTTCTTCTGATGCTGAATCGGGAAGTGGAATGACCATGCCCGCTCCTCAGTATTTCTTCTCTGCTTTGGCGATTGCTTCCTTCATGCTTTGGCTGTAATCAGCTTTGGGGAAAGGCTTTAGCGTCCACTCGACGTCTGAACCTCGGGAAACGTGTGCATTATTTACACTTGCTGCTGATTTGTATCTGCATATTTTCTAGAGTCTGGACAGCGTGCGGATCATACTACCTTACATTCGAAGTCTTTCTCTAATCAAACAACTTCCATTCTTCATCAGTGCTTACTCGCGATAACCCCTATCTAAACGCAATGGTATAAAACATTGCATCCGCCATCCACTATCAGGGATATTTAAAGAACCTTGTCCGGGATGAGTGTGTATGACTTCGGGTACGATTCTGACAACACCATTAGCTTTCATCCCAAGAAATCATCCTGATCACCTTACCTAGTATAGACTTATCAAAGTCCTTAACGCTATTGTACCCTCCAACAGCCATCAGAATATCGAAATCGGCCAACAGCGACTTCATCACATGACGAACCCCCTCCTCACCCATGATACTAAGACCCCAGATCCAGAGCCGACCGACGAAAACAAAGCGAGCTCCCAGAGCCAGCGCCTTAGCGACATCGCTGCCTCCACGAACACCAGAATCAAACATGATGTAAATCTGATCACCGACCGCATTGGCAATATTCTCCAACGCATCAAGACTCGCAATAGCACCGTCCACCTGTCTACCCGCATGATTGCTCACCACAATACCATCAACCCCATACTCAACGCACTTCTTCGCATCCGCCACAGACTGGATTCCCTTGATAGCGAACGGCCGACCCCCAGAAATCTTCTTCCACTGTTCAATCAACCAGGGGATCTTCTCCCACGACCAAGCCCGCCCATGCCAAACGGAATCAATCCACTTGGCCGACGCAGCCACCACATCCTTCTCCGGGTCAATGCCCGCCTCGCGGCACCGTTTCTGGAACACCGGATCCGTCAAGCCAAGGTCCGCCCCGATGCCTCGGTAAAAGGCATAATTGGAGTTGGCGACGTCGTCATGTCGCCAGCCCAATTGCCAGGTATCAGTTGTGAGAATTAGCGCATCGAACCCGGACTTCCAGGCCCGGTTGAGCAGGGACAAGGTCAGCTCGTCATCATGTGGCATGTATAGCTGGAAGAAACGGGGGCTGCCTTGGCCGTTGGCTTCGCCGACCTTCTCGATGGGGGTGCTTCCTGCTGTGGAGAGACAGTAGGGGAGGTTGAGTTCACCGGCCACTTTGGCTACTGCGAGCTCGGCGGATGGGTGGTAGATCTTGTTGATCCCAATGGGTGCGAAGCCGATTGGCGCGGATACTTTGTGGCCGAAGATCTCGGTGGTGGTGTCGCGCTGGTTGGTGTCCACTAGTTGGTTGGGGATGATCCGATGACGGAAGAAGGCTTGCCGGTTGGCGAGGTGGGTGTTGGACATGCCTGCGTTGGAGGATGCATAGAACCTGAGGGAAGTTAATGAGGCATCTATGAGGGAGTGGGATTTACGTACCAGCCTCCTTGGCTTAACTTCTTGTGTGCCTCCTCTTCGAGCTTTCTCGGGTCTGTTGCACAGATAGTCTTGTTAGCGAGCACGTTAAGATGGAGCAGGGATGTGGAAGTGGTGTGTACCTGTGTTGAACGGGACTGTTTGGCCATCGTTTACTTTCCAGAAGTTCTCACGCTGGTACAGAGCCCATTGGGGGGTTGTTCGCTTCTCAATGTTGGGGTTGGTTGGGTCACTCATGGTTGAAGTATAGAAACAATGTTTCCTGCAGTTGTATAGAGACAAATTAAGTAAAGACAGATGTTATCTATATGGAGATTCTATCTGATATAGACGAATTGCAGAAATATACAAAATATATTCTACAATGCAATACTACGAATAAAAGAAAACCACAACAGATATACAAAGTAAGTTAGAATTCCAATTTATACTTGGGATGACTTCACCTTGACGCAGCTCTCGGGCGAGAAACCAAGTTGGTTCCTGAGGCCACCCAGCAAACTGGCCTGAAGATCAGCTTCTGCCTGACTCGCAGTCCCTCTCTTGGTCACACCGGAACTCAGGTACAGAGTAGCTCCCTCTTCGAAGGGGGCATAGTTGCTCCTGTTAATGGCCCCTTTTAGTGCATGAGATGGTCGATATCGGAGGAGAGCAGCGGCGATGATGTCATTGCACAGTAGTCGGGATCATCCCAATTCATTTTCTACTTCAACTTCACCTTTTATCCCTTTGCTAAGTAAAGAATCATTCTACCTCCAGTTCATATGTTTAACATGTAAATATAACTCAATGGCTCACTTATTCAATACCGGTCCCGCCATGTCAGCCAGGGAAATATACTTTCTCGCGTTACCGACTTGCTCCGGCCATTGAAGCCGGAGCCGGAACAGCCGTCGGGAGATCCGCTTCAACTACCGAAGCCGAAAGTTCATCTTCGTGTTCGACACATCATCTTGATCCATACTTGTCTCTTCTTTCACTTTTGCAAATGTACACTATATCCTGAAATCTATTCATTCGGATAGACAGAAGAGAATTGAACACACCATGTTCGGCTTAAGTACAAGACGCTCCGCCGCGTCGCGCTCCAAATGCCTTACCAACACCCCGACCAGCTTAAGTAGCAGTGTCCGCTCACCTGCGCACCGATCCCTGCTCTCAGCCCGCGACTTTCACCCCAGTCAACACAATGCCGCATTCCGACCTACTTGGATGCCTATGAGAGTTAAGACTCCTTGGATTGAGGCACTCACGAAAAGTCGCGAGACTGCAAAGTCTAGTCAGGGGGGTGCTGCTGCGCCCTCGGCGAAACCTGATATGACGCCGAAGAAGATGTCGGATAGTTATTATAGCGCCGTAGGTGCACTTGCTGACCTGGAGAGGGTTTCTTGCTGATTGATGGATCTGTCTTTAGGTTCTGCCTCTGGCTCAGGATAAGTGGCTGCTTGATACGTATCTTAATGCTTCGGGGCATATCAGGTGAGTGTCTCTGGTATCTGTTTTTGGCGGCGATGATTTACTGATGGATAAAGACTGGGGTCCCTGCTTATGGACCTCGATGCGCTGGCGGGTGTCATTGCCTACAGACATGCTGGTGACTCGGTCACTACGGTCACGGCGGCCGTGGATCGCATTACCATTGAGCATCCGCTGATGGAGATCTGTGACCTTGAACTCAGCGGTCAGGTCACGTATGCGACGGGTCGCTCTAGTATGGAGATTTCCATTCAGGTGGCCAAGGCTCCTGCTCCGGGAAAGGAGGTGGAGCCGGAGGATGTGCTCATCACCTGTGCGTTTACGATGGTGTCGTTGGATCCTGCGACGAAGAAGTAAGCCGATGCTACTCTACTGTAACCGTCTGGGTACTAACATTGACACCCCAGGCCCGTCAACATCGCCCCCCTAGTGGTCGAAACAGCCGAAGAGCGTCTCCTCTTCAAGCAAGGCGAAGAGAACTACCAAGCCAAGAAGGCACTACGATCCAAGAGTCTTCTCGAGACAGCCCCCGATGCGGAAGAGAGTAACCTCATTCACTCCATGTGGACGAAGGAGATGTCCTACCTCAGTAAGTATCCTTCCCATCAATCCAATATATAAATCATCAATAACCGAGCAACAGACCCCGAAAACCCCGCCCAACGGCCCTCCAACAACGTCTTCATGAGCGACACCGTGCTCAAATCCGCCATGATCATGCAACCCCAAGACCGCAACCGCCACAACTTCATGATCTTCGGTGGCTTCCTTCTCAAACAGACCTTCGAGCTCGCCTTCTGCTGCGCCGCGTCCTTCTCGCACTCTCGCCCCAACTTCATCTCCCTGGACCCTAGCACGTTCGAGAACTCCGTGCCCGTGGGCAGCGTGCTGTATCTGCGCGCGACGGTGGCGTACACGGAGCCGCTGGAACGCGAGGGCGTGGAGAGCAAGTACACGAAGGTGCGGGTGCGGGTGGACACGAAGGTGAGAGATGTGGAGCATGGAACTAAGAAGCCCACGGGCATGTTTAATTATACCTTCCTCGTGGAGAAGGATGTGCAGGTCATGCCCAAGAGTTACAATGAGTTTATGATCTGGACGGATGCTAGGAGACGGTCGGAGAATGCGGCGGCTATGTTGCATGGGTCGAAGGAGCCGAGTGCGTTGAGAGGATTGAAGGATAGTGTTACGGAGTAGATACTATTATTAGTATGGAGTTTTGGTGGATAGTGTAGACTTTTAGATGTTTTGCAGTTGGTTCGTTCTGTATCATAGTAGTGATATATAAGTTGTCATCATGTCAACATTTCAGGTCAACACTAATGTAGTGAACCTTTACGTATTCAGACAACTTATACTTGTGTCATTATATCTAAGTATATTCAACAATATATTTCAGCTACAACACTGCTACACAATAGTATAATCCATATTGTACCAATGTAATATTGTACCAACGTCCATCCATTCAACCTATACCCATGTCACATGACATCATCGATCAATTCCCCGCCAAACCAAACCAAACCAAACCAAAACACAACAATATTCAATCTTATCAATAAACCTTCACTTCCTCAACAAACAATCCAAAACCCAACTATACATAGAATAGACACCATGTCAATGTCCCTCCAAAACATCTGGCATCTGCGCCGAGTAGCAGATACAGCCGCCAAAGCATGTTATATATGCTACAAGCCATCGAGTAGTGTATTCATCACGCCTGATAATCGGGTATGAGGCCCCTTTCACTCCCCTCAAATCTCCATATTTCCCTTTTGAGATATATGATTATAGCTTACTACTTGAACAATGAATTTTCTTGTCTGGACACCGGCTAAGTATGCATCAGGACTTCTTCTACGTCTGCCCCTCTCACCTCCAAGACCGCCATTTCTGTTCTCCTATTGTCGATACAGAAGCGGCGGCCGCCAAGGCCAAAGAAGAGGCTATGGCGAGGGAGATTGAGAGGGTGAAGAAGGAGTATGAGGAGAAGCAGCAGCGGAAGAAGAATAAGGATGCTGAGAAGGAGAAGGAGAAGAAGGAAGATGATAAAGACAAGGAAAAGGATGATAAGTCTGCTACGAAGAAGGGGGATGAGGAGGATAAGAAAATGCAAAAGGAACGGGATGATAAGGTTCGTTCTTCTCTTTACAGTTCTATCTTCTATTGTCTTGTTTGGCTTGACGTGCATTCGCTAACATATTACAGATTGAGAGTATCAAGAAATCGACCAATTCGTCGGATGACTCGCCGAGGGTATTTGCGTTGCACAAGTATTTCTCTCTGCTCTTGTATGGGGTTCTATGTGATGTTTGCTAAATCCTTGTAGGAACTTCTATCAGATGCGTATCGACAGGATGCGCAATGCCGAGATGGCTAGAAGGAATCGTCAGCGTTTGCAGGATCCTTCTCTGTTCCCGTCTGTCCCGACTGGGGGGCTGTGAGCTTGAGTCTGGAGCTGCAGGATGATGAGGTTCTTGTGGATGGATGCTGGAATGCTGACGACGTGGACGGGCGCCTACAGTTTACCTCCTGGGTCGCCTGGTATGTCTAGCTTGTGGCTGGATCCTTCGGTGCTCACTGTGATTATATCGAGCTTGTTGGATATGATCGCCTGATGATTGTCTGGCTGATGAGGAGCTCAGAGTCAGACATCAGCAGTTGCTGGACAGTCGGTGTATCGGATACGGCCTCGCGACGCGAGTACATCTGCTCGAGCGTGAGACACTGTCACCGCGCTTTGCAAGGCGACACGCCACATGTCACGACCAAGTCAATACTTCAATACAGAGACTGTCGATACATCTGCTACACCAGCTTCAGTGCTCTGCCTAGCTACTACACTACTACTCAGCTCAAGCGACGATCGCTCAGCTCTCCACCGACATATCCGTCACTCAGAAACTCATATCCGTCCTCGCTAGAATAGCCATCATTACGCGGCTCACCGGAAACAGCTTATGCTGTCTCACATTTCCGGCAAGACACGGAAGCCTTAAGAGACACTTTGCACAGCCTTAACGGATCCCGGAAGTACCATAGCTTCTAGAAGCGAACTGCCTGCCTAACGGAGCCGAGAACGCAAGGCGTCTGACAGCCTTACGCGATGTCAAAACCTACAAGGCTACAAACAGGGGTTTGCAGCCTAATCCAGCAACCCGATCGGAGCTTGTAGTACTCATAAGACATAACCAGATGACCGTGTTGTGTTTGAATCAGAAAACGAACTGACTGCTCGTATCGAAGAACAACCGTACCGGCTTCCTCTCAAATAAGCGCCCTTAAAGAAAGAAAAACAGAGAAATAGAAAACGCGCGGACCATGCCCAGAAACCCGTCACATGCACTATGCTCCATAAGCGATGAAATTAAGCATCGATGTGATGCATGCGTAGTTAGATAAATACAACATACCATCAACAACTCTGTAATACACATATTAGGCAGATAAATAACTCACCCCTCATTCCCTCCTGACCACTCCCCTACAGAGTAATAATACTCCCCTAAGAAAAAAGATAGTTAGTTAGTTAGAAAGAAAAGGGAAACTCCTCATGCAAAGCAGTGGATCCCCAAACGAGGCAGTGCAACTTAGTATCACCCAATCCCAATCATCCAGGACTAAACTCTTAGCCCCTCTCTCTCGCTCTCTCTTTCTCTCTCTCTCCGTGTCAATACTAATGCCCATGTTCTTAATGCACTCAGCTATACACAGAATATACACCCATAGTAAGGGGGTGGGTGAGGTAAGGTGACTCGGTTAGGTTTTCCCTGACCTAACTAACTATCCCAAACTAACTAGTAGTTGTTCCCCCCTCCCCCCCTCCCCAAACCCCATTTTTCAGCCCGCGATAAAGATAGAATAGATAGTAGTGGTTTTTTTTTTGGCCCTGTAGGGCGGGTTAGATTTATCCCTATATTGTTATCCCTCTCTTTATTAGTATCATTGTTTTTTTATTATTTGTTTTTGGTTTTTATAGGTTTGGTTTGGTTTGGTTGGTGGAATGATGATGATGATGTGTATTGTAAATAACGCCAAGATTAACGACTATATCTTATACTGTGTCTCTCTACTGGATAGTATTTATTCTACTTGTGATGATCGTGAGATGAGGTTGACGTCATGTAGGGCGGAGACTAGAATACTTTAGGTAGTAGTAGTAGATAACCTAAGTACTGTTGTTTTAATTAGGGTGGGAGGTAGAGGAGAGTATAGTGCTATATTGCTGAGGGGGGATGTGTTTGAGAGGTGTTTGATAGTACTTCGTAGATGGGAGAGTAAGAATCTCGTGGTATAAGGTGTGAGAGAATGATTATCCGGGAGTAGTTGGTAGCTACTAACCTACTTGTTTAGGCAGGTAAGTAAGTACTTATGATGATGATGATGAATCTGCGCAGGATTGCCACTTCATTATACTACTCCATTCTATGGTATATACAAGGCATTAATACAGATGAAATGAAAAATACGCAGAATCCTACTGCACTACGACAATACCGGAAAGAAAGGTAATCTTCAAAATACGGTATGTACCAGCCCGGGATCAGCTCATCCATGGCTAGCGCGCCCCAGTTGCGTAAGAGCAGTTTGCACAGCCCCCGTGCCGGCGCTAGTGAAGCAGCCTAGACCTTCGCTAGTTCTACCCACCCTTCTTCCCCCCCTCTCCCCAACCTAGCCCGGATGAGCAGAAAAGCAGCAGCAGGCTTGGCAAGTTACAGTTGTCGCGCGCGCCGGGAGTCATTAGTCATCGGAGGCCCAGGAACTTGTGCCAGGCCCCGAGAACTCTGTTTTTTCTCCCCGATCTGCCCTTCTGGCTTCGCAGATCCCGGGTCTTACGTCACCGCCTGATTGGGTGCTGCTAGCTGGGGCCCGTGGGGCTGCCTTAAAACAGCCTCGTGGGGTCGGTGGGGTTATGCCCTGGATCCTGACAGGTCCTAGCGCTTAGAAGTTCTACAATTTCCCCCCTCCCATTCCCTTCTGCTTTCCCACTCGACACGAGCTGAATCCAATCAGACCTTTTAGGCTAACTGATTTGATAAGATCATCTGGCTTGTAGCCGCCGAGGCTTGAGTTGGGATAGCTGAAGCTAGTGTGGTGCATTTGCTCTCATTGGCTGGGTTCTTGCTTGCTGGACCGGTAGTAGTAAACTGTATGTCTATCTCGACCTTGCTCTCTGTTCCAACTTGTCACGGGATGATCGGCATCAGGGTCTGAAACCTGTCGAGCGCAGACCATACCCAAATCTAGTCTAGACCCGAGTCTATATTGTGCATAGCTGCGTTGTGTCCTTCCTTTCGTGCCTTCAATAGTGTACGAATTCGGGCTATTCCGCCAGCCTCCGCATACCATAGCAGAAGCTCTGAACGCCACACTTGCGTGCGTGGCCCGTCTATTCACGGGCCATCTCTGTCTGTTTTCAGTTCAACTATCGTTTTCCTAAACTTTGGAATCAGATGGCGCCGCTTCTAATGCCACGTGACGTAATTTGGCTCTGCGACCCGCTGGTTCGTCATTTAAAGACGTGGCTAAGGGAGCCTATCAACGAGCATGCTTAGACTTCTGACGGAGCCTTGCTGCGCCGTGATCTACCCCTGGCGAAGTCAACGTTAGGTAGCGCTACCAAAGTCTAAAGGTTTCCGCGTCCGTTGCTCTCATCCGTGGGATTAGACCGCATTCCAGGCGGCAGACGAATGCCCATCGCAGCTGGCAAGTTGCCTGCTCCGCGGATAATGTTGACCCTCTCGGAGATGTCCACTCTGGCCTTTGCAAGGCCAATCGCAGGGACAACCCACTCGCCGCAGCTACATTGCATACCTTGCCAGGCAAATTTGCCAATATTAGCTCCACAGGACGAGTTGGGGCAGGTCAGACGGCCAGACAAAGGGGCGTCTTCTGGTGGCGCTCCATAAGGCGAGCTGGAGGTTTCTCCATCGGTGCCAGGAAAGAGCGACGGGCGCATCCAAGTCAGTGGGTGCAAGAAGACATGAGCGCAATCAGCCGTGGAGGCTCTGGCGTTCTTTTGAGTGGTATGGGGTATGATGAATTGCGTGGTCGCCAATTTGCGCCTGGTGATGTGGTCAGGAGGAGCTCATAGATAAGCTTCGAAAGGATCGTAATTAAGACTAACCGGCATTTGCGACATTTGATCTCTGTCATACGACCCGCAGGCTCCTGTGATTGGCGCGGCTGCTCATCTTCAAACAGCACGGACTTCATCTCGGGTGCTCGACCACATGCTACACTCTCCTCCACCTCGCGGCGGTAAAGCCACCGGCTGTAGAGGGGGTGGCTGGTAACATCATCTGGACATCCCATCTGATGGTAGACGGAGAGCTGCTCCATGAACCCAGGATTTGGCTCACATAGCGGTCGGTTCTGTCTGATGATGTCAAGAGCGGACTCTGGTGTCAGTGCGCTAGGCTGACGGTTGAGCAGATACGCGATACAGACAGTGGCTGATCGGGATTTTCCCATCGCACTATTAACAGTCAGCACGCTTGTCATTTTCGAAGCGCAATCGAACATCCTTGTTACACAAGGTCAAGTGGACAATATGGATCACGTGATGTTAAAGCACGGCTTCAGCAGGCATTATAAAAGCACAGGACTAAAGTAATAGGAAGGGGTAGGGTACCAGTCCTGGGTAAAGACCTGAGACCAGGTCTTACCAAGGAAACATGTGGAGATATCCTAAGAGCAGATAAACAAGGAAGGACTAAACTAACCAATGTACAAGTACTCCTCCGCCGGCATCAAGACCGGACTGGATGAACTTTACAGCAGCTGGGAAATGTTCTAGTAAGTTTTCATCGTCGACATCGTCGACCTCTATGCAGTGGTGTTGAAAAGACTCGAAGATATCATCAGCGGGTTGGAGGCGTAACACGGATACAACATGTGTAATGTTTGCTCGAGTCAAGGCTGCCTTGTTCTTGAGTGCCAGTATGCTACGTGCAACTCGGTGTTAGCAAGCTTTCTGAGAGCAGAGCGCTATAACCCCTCTTGGACCCTGGCCCATCATATGACGGGCCAAAGGAAGGCTTAGTATGGTAACAGAAAGTGAAAGACAAGGTAACCAACCCTCCAACATAGATGTTCTGTCCGGGAATTTGATTCATCGCCATAATGACAGTCTATCGAAACAGCGATCTAGATGAATAATGATGGCTCTAGATCGGGTTGACGATGCAAAAGAGTATGACGATGATAAGAGGCAGAGTGGCCATGAATGATAGCCAAGATCGGACCTGAACATTCGATATGGCGCCAAGGAATTGTGATGGCATCTGATTGGCTGGAGTCAATCCTGCAATGGCGGCATGAAAGAAGTAACTTAGGGTGTAGGGCAAGGGTAAGGGTAACATAACAGCAGCAGGAATTTGACACCTAAGGCATTAAGACAGACCCCGCATAACTTAACGGTCATTCCTTCGGCCGGCTTTGG